GGGGAGCGCTTGGATTGTCATGCCCAAACAAGCCCCGAACTGCCGCTTTTTCGGTGGAGGGCTCTGGCGGTGCCGAGGGCGCGATGGTTTCGCTGCGGGCTCTGGGCGCGCCCGATGCTGCCCAGCTCGGCACACCGAGGTCCCGGCAGCTCCACGGCTTTCCTCTGCTCCCGCCGCGTTAAATTCTTGCACGAGTGCAAACTGCGAATTGCTCTCTTGGCCGGCTTCAGCGCTTCTTCGTGAGCCGGGATTTATCAGAGCCCGCTGGACCCCGGGGGCTTGGGATGTGGTGGGAGAGGCTGGGAACCTCCTCTCCCTGCCCTGCTGGGCTCCAGGCTGCCCTCCGGGACACCTCCTGGCTTCATGTCGCTCTTTGCCATCGGTATCTTCCATAACCTTTTTTTTTGGAAAATGCAAGAGATTTAGGTCCCAGCTCTATGGCAAAGTTCCCAAAGATACCCCCAAAACTGCATATGGATAAGTGGTAAATATATACAAAAGTTTATATCATCTATCTGTATATCTGCACTGTGATATATGAATTTTTTTTCTTACTGGAGAGGTGGTTCAGTGCTGGGGATCTAAAATAACCCCCTCAACAACTGCTCTTGGGAAACCAGAACAAGCTGCAGTCACTTTGCTCCGGGTGCCACCATGTCCCCACCAAAGGACTTTTTTGATCTGCAGCAGTAATTGGGCTAATTAGGAAGCTGGAACTGCTCCCCCTTCTCCCCAGGTGTCTGAGCAGAGCCCCAGCTAGCAGAGAGAAGTCAGGGGCCCTTGCCAGTGGAACTGCTCTAATTTTACATTTAATGGGAGTCCCTGGCTGTAACTGGGCTGTGCTGGGATTGATGGCCTCTGGCCTGGGAGGCCCATAACTTCCCTGTGATGAAATCTCATAGGTACAATTTCCCTAATGACACCAAAGGTCTCTGGGTGTTGCCTGCAGGCAGAGCAAACCTGGGCTGGTTTGCCCACAGTGTGAGCCAAGTTTGCAGTTCTCAGCTCGGGCTGTGCCCCAGGGGAGAGGGGGCGGCTGTGGGTCACAGCACCCATTAACCAGCCCTCGAGAGCCAAAGGAAAGCCTTTGGTTTTCCACTGCCCTCCCAGCCTTGGTGCTGATGAGACCCAGGAGGAAAGGAGGAAAGGAAAGTGCAGTGGGGCCCCCTGTCCCTGCTCACCTTCCCAGGGCAAAGGGCCACAAACGGCAGCAGCGGCGGCACCTCCCTGGTGCAGCATCCGCCCGTCCCACACTCCTGCACATATTTTCCTGGTGAGGCATCAGACACAAACCTTAAGGGCCCAGGCTGGTAAAACGAGCAGCAGTGGTGGAGGGAGAGTGGTTCCTTCCTGACAGCCAGCAGGGACGCTCGGGGTGCTGCTGGCGGCTCCCGGGGTGCTGTGGTGATGGGTTGGGAGCAGGGGCCCTGCCCGTCCTGGGGAGCATGTCTGTGGTGTGGCCACGTCCTTGCAGGCACCTGAGGAGGGAGGGAGACTGATTCAGGGGTGTCTGTGGGATGCAGCCCTGCTGCACCAGGCAGGGAGGAGGGCACAGACCAGGCAGATTGTGCTGATCCCAGTCTGCGGCTGTGGGAGGGTGAGGTGAAGTGTGGCTGGCAGCGGGCAGCCGGCTCCCCTTGGGGCCAGATGGCTTTGCACAGGTAGAGTGCCCACCCAGCATGGCCCTGTCAGGCAGCTCAGGGTGTTGGAGCTGATGTAGTTCCCCAAGGGTTCCCACTGCAGTTGAGCCAAGGGGCTCAGGATGCTGCTGAACCAGTCCCTGCAAGACCCATCCACCAGCAAGGGTGGGAGCCTTCTATTCTGAGCTTTCCCACTGCTGGCACTCCCCTGTGCCCCCAAATCCCATAGGAAATGGCCTCAGCGAGGCTGGCTCCATCCCAGCTCCGTGCTGGGGATTTGGTCTCCACGCTTGTTCCTGGCCTTATCCCAGCACTGAGGGACAAACCCAAAATAGCCCCTCCAGAGGCCAGGAACAAGGAAAGGCTGGAATTGCTGCTCTTGGCAACCAGGGGTGCAAGTAGGGTTTAAAACATGGGAAACCCAATTAACTTGGCTCCATTAGCTGATTGAGCTGGCTGATAAGAGTATGATTAATTAAAAGGATGAAGAATAAGTTACCAGGTCTTCGCTGCTGTCGGGATGTGGCAATGGCTTAATGCATGAAATTGGCTTCTTCTCTTAATACCTGGTGCTCAGCTACTACTGGCCATCGGTCCTGCATGGCACTGATCCACAGCAGGGAGAAACATCCTTTTGCCAGCACCGGGTCTGCTCCCTGCTCCTCTCCCATCCAGCTTCCAGGGACGAAAAAAAAATCACGGGGAAAATATAATCCCTCTGGATGGGCAATGCAGGAGAGAACCTTCTTCATTACCTGTGCTGTTCTCACCAGCTCTTGGTCAGGCTCTGGAAGCCCTGTGATGCAGAGGGACGGGGTATGGTCCCTTCCAGGCTAACAGGAGCTGACGTGGAGGCAAGCGGGGCGCGTTCCTCGGCGCTCTGCCCGCGGGGCTGCAACCTCCGGCGGTGCTCGGGCCTGGCAAGAAAGGAAATTAGAACAGTTTTATACACTTTTGTAATAATCCAGCTCGCTGAAGTTGGGTCTGAGACAAGGACAGGTCACCACTCGGTGTTTCTGCCTGGGGCTGAAGGAGGTGGGAGAAGACTCAGCTCACATCCACTCCTTCCCTGTCAAAGAAAACCCCAGCCCTAACTCTCAGTTTTTCCATCATGACAGCAGGAGAGATGCTGGTCTGGTCCAAGGGGTCCCTGTGTGCTTCCCCCTCTTCCACCTGCAAGAGCCATGCACCACTCTGGCACCCCATCATGGTTTGGTGGTGGCAGAAGTGATGTCCCTGCACAGGGGCCATGGGATGGGTGGCACCCGGTCACCTGCATCTCCTGAGGACTTCCAGGGGAATTTTCAGCCCCATCATCCCTGGGAAGAGCAGCAGTTGGTGCGAGCAGTGCTGCCCCTGCTCCTCCACTCCCCTCCTCTCCCTGCCCCGAACAGGGTGACATCCCATCTCCCAGTGACAGCTCCTTCCTGTGCCCACCCTGCCGTTTACCAGCATGGAAATTGGTGCCAACAACCTCAGGATATCTTAGAAACTCACAAACAAAAGCAAAAAGACCTTAAGATGGTGGGTGGGGATGTGCCTGGTGGCATTACAGCTGATGGGGAAGGGACAGGCATCCTCCAGGCCCTGGGGCTGTCGGTCACATCACTCCAGCACTCTCCTGAAATGAAGGATTGTATGATTGGAAAAAACCATCCAGCTGTAAAAGCAGCAGAGCAATTTGCTGGGACCTTTTAATAGCCTCATTTCATTATCTCCTGCAATCAAAGAGAAACTTGTGTTTGATGAGCACAGGGGACCCAGGAGACAATTTAGGATCCTGGGGATGAATTTGGAAGTGGAAGGGTATTTAGTGGCATGGCTGGGTTGCTGGGCTTACTCACCACAGGAGAAATCCTGAAATCCCTTGTTATTTTAAGAAGGAAACATCAAAAATCTGGTGCAAAGTGCTCGTGCAGTGGGGTTTTATTTGTGGAGGCGGGTTGGGTTAGGATTGGGCAGGGAGGGCATGGAAATTGCTGGGGTACATGTGGATGTGTGGGTGCCCTGTGCCTGCTGGGGGCTGTAAGGACCAGTGCAGATGGAAATAGCTGCCAGCTCCTGCTAGGAAAATGATGACTCAAACCAGCCGCTGGGATTTAAGGCTTCTTTTACCGCGCATGAGCTGGGCTGGAGGGGGGGTTTTCCCCCCGCTGTGGTCGGGGGCAGTTCCGGGAGGCCCCGGGTCGGGGGGGACCAGCACAAAATGTGCTCCAGATGCTGCCAGGGCTGGGATGCATCAGGCAGGACCGGGCTGTGCTGGGGAGCCGGAAAGGGATTTCCCCCTTTTCACCAGGAACAAAAATAACACAAGCACACGTGATAGCTCATTTCCTTTAGCCTTTAAAAAGCCCCGTGGGATGGTGAGCGGCGGGAGCAGGGGAAGGGGCTCTGCCCATCCTGCCTGGCGTCCCCTGCCACGTCGCAGCTGAAAAAAAGCACAAAAATCGCCTTTTACCTCCAAATCCTTCATGTGTTGTGCATCTGGGGGGAATATACCTTTGTACTGGCTTTATCCCAAACTCCCCTATATGCAAAACAACCACCCTGCTCTTCCCTCTGGCAGCAACCCAAGGAACTCGTTTCAGTCACTTCTGGACATGTGTGTGGCATGTAGTTGTGTTTAAATGCCTCCCCCAGAGCCTGGGAAAGGACTTGGACTGGGATGTGCCCTTGGGTTTTGGCTCTTTCCTTTAAAGTCTGTCACCACTTGAACAAATATTTGACAGTGGGTTAAGGATTTGGGCAGGAGGCATCCATGCAATGGACTGGGGGAGACTTTGGGGTCCATGGTCTCCCCCATCCCAAGGAGTTTCTGTCCCTTGTAAGAAAACCAGCATCTTCCAGAGGATGTTTTTCCTAGGGAAGAGGCATCCTGGTGCCTGCTAGCTCCTAATTAGTGCTGCCAGCCTCATGCTGGCCTAGCTGGGGCCAGGGCTGAGCTGTGGAGATGATGCCACTGCAGGGTTTGGCCTTGGGGGGGGTGTCATCCTCTCCTCAAAAAAGGCCTGGAGTGGAGGTCACATCTCCATTCCCGAGCTGCTGGAT